ATTAGTTTTCGGGTGGTGTAGCACGATAATTTCTTAGGAATCGGTATAGTTCCTGCAGTGTTTAAATGGTTTGCCGTTAGTATGTGATGTTCGGTAGACTTTTTTGATAGTCTTCATGAATCGTTCAACTTCATAGTTGGCTTTAGGCCATCTTGGAGTAATTTTGCGATGTTTGAATCCCAAATAATTAGCAAAGGATTCAAACTCTGCTCCGTTGAATGGTGGTCCATTATCTGTGCCCACAATCAGCGGTGTACCAAGTAGTGAGAATATGCAATCTAATCGCGGAATCACTGTTCTGGCTGAAGTTGAACTGATAACTTCAACTTCAGGGAAGCGACTGTAGTCATCAGTAATAACAAGTAGGTATTCTCCTGTTGCGAGATCAGCGAAATCAACGCTAACTTTTAGCCATGGTCCATCTGGAAGTTTGGACATTTTTAGTGGTTCACTGCTCTTATCAAATGGTGTGGCTTGGCATGCGATACATGAGTTGATTGTTTGTTCAACCATTGCATCGATTTGTGGAAACCAGACCTTTTCTCGTATGAGTTGTTTGGTCTTTACAATTCCTTGATAACCTTCATGCGCTATATTGATTATCTTTTGTCGTAGTATTTGCGGAATGATACTCCGATTACCATGAAGAACAAGATCTTTGGAGGCAGTGATGGTGAGTTTATCGCGTGTTGCATGTAGACTTCGCAGGGTTGCCCCAATTTTGGTTACTTTTGTATGTTTCAACTTTTCATACCAATTCCCATCATGCATTGCTTTTATACAGAGTTGCAGGGCGTCATCTTTTAGCGTTGCCTGCTGTATATCTTCGATACGCACTGTTTTTCTTCACGACTTGATTGTTTTGTTGATGGTAATGGATGACGTGGCATATAGTCAGCAGGATTTAGCTTTCCAGGCTGGTAAACTACCTTATAGTCATATTCTTGGAGTTTAAGTATCCATCTTTCTATGCGTGTTGGTGCTTTTGATGTTGGGGTGTTGAATAATGGTACAAGTGGTTTGTAGTCAGTTGTTACTTGAAACTTACTTCCATAAAGATACAGATGAAAGTGTAATATACCCCATGTGACGGCTAGTGCCTCTCTTTCAGTCTGTGAATATCTCTGCTCTACCGGTGTGAGAGAGCGGCTAGCTAGTGTAACAATAGAGACTTGATTATTGTCACCACGTTGTGTCAATATAGCTCCTAGTCCAACTGGACTCGCATCGACAAGGACTTCTGTTTTTTTGTTTGGATCAAAGTAAGCTAGAGTAGAGTCTGCCGCTAGTTTTTTTATTTTGTCCAGAGCATTCTGTTCC